AAGCCGCTCGTGAGCTACTCACGTTGGACGAGAAGAACGAACGTCGTCTTTTCGAAGGAAATGCGTTGCTCCGTCGCCTTGTGAGAATCGGGGTGTTGGACGAAGGACGTATGAAACTTGATTACGTTTTGGGCCTCAAGATTGAAGATTTCCTAGAGCGTCGTTTGCAAACGCAGGTGAATTTTACGTTGCCAGAGCTGATTAAACGAAGAGATGGATTCGTCTATTGTGACGTAGTGAAAGTGTCGGAAGGAGTGCTGAACTTTTTTAACGTGGTTTCTGATATCTTAGTGCTGTACTGAATTAGGAGCTTCATGCGACAAACAATGTTCGGAATTGCGTTGATCGTCCTCGAGGATAAGTACGATGAGTCCGAATGATCTGACGATTCATGACAAAATTTTCGATTCCAGTTGATTCGAAACAGTGGAATTCGTTCGCAGACCCACAGCTCCATTAAATATATTCCTCTTCCTTTTTTATCTTCAAAATATGGCATATTTCGATGCTTTTTCATGAAATTGATTTCTCGCAGGTGTTTAAACTTGGATTGGCCAAGTCGTTTCATCATGCCCGAGTTCTCATTCGTCAACGACACATCAGAGTTCGAAAGCAGGTCGTGAACGTGCCTTCTTTCATGGTGCGCTTGGATTCGCAGAAGCACATTGATTTCTCGTTGAAGTCACCGTTTGGCGGCGGAAGAGCTGGTCGTGTGAAGCGGAAGAACCTGAAGAAGGGTCAAGGCGGCGGCGGTGGTGACGAGGAAGAAGACGAAGATTGAGCAAAATTTTGAGGAATTGTGCTGAAAGCGTCGGGAGTAAAGTGTTACTTCGGAAATATCTCTGGGGGATGTTGCTGTTGATTTCGGATTAACGCTTCGCATACATTATAATCACCTACACTCGAACTTTAATTTTTTTGCTAATGAGCTGAGCTAGAATTCAGTATTGTTTCGGTAGAAAATAAGAAAAAATAATTCCAGGTGTAAAATGATTTTACTCGCGTACCTTTCGAACACTTATCTGCTCTGATGACCTAAATTCGACCAATCACAGGTCGAATCTGGTCCCAGAATATCTGATGAAGTGCATCTTGGTAACAAGCATTTCCTGAGACCCGAGTGGTATAGCACTAATGTTCTTTGAGTCTCGATATAACCAAGTGTTCGAAATAATGAAAGATTTTTCATCTCTTTTTCTCACCTGGTTCTCTGTACCATGTAATTAGGTTCAGTAATTGTTTCTACTGATTTAGAGTTGGCTTGAAGAAAATCCTCACGTGGTGTTGAAGATATATTGGATATTTCTTAATTAAATACCGAGCTAATTACTGAAATTAAAGATGAAGTAGGCCAATTTGAAGCTTTGTAGAAGATACAAGAGCTACTTACTTTCTGTATTATCACGAGAGAACTGGTTGTCTTGGTCCAAATTTCCGTATGAAGAATGCATACAAATCCTTAACTCAAACTTTCTGTAGGCATTTTAGCTATCATGATTTGTGACCTGGAAACAGAAATGTAGTGAAAATGTAAGTAACTTATCATTTCTTTCCATGGGAACCTGAATTACACTGTTAATTTGTAGAACTTTGATGAAGCCTCATACAATATTGCAAATTTGTATACCCAGCATTGAACGAATGAAAATTCAAACCGCATGTATTGAGATTGATGAACCGCAGTACTGTAATAATAAGTAAATACAATATTGTACTGTAAATACTGTATATTGCAGCCATGATATCTTTTAGGTTCTATATACTGTATTCAAGAATTTTAACCTTACTGATTGTTTCCTGGTTTGATTTTCCTGTCATGCATACATTTTCTTTTTTACTTTCTGAAGTGTACTGAATGCGTCCCACGGAAATAGCTTCCGATTTCATTCACAAAAGATATACAGTACATTATTTTCTTAGGCCTGCCATGCTGGGTGATCATGCATTTTTCAAGCTTCACAGTGTCACCCAATCCCATTTACAGACTGAGTTTCAAAATTTTGGATATGAGACGCATCGGTCGGCCTTGATGCTAAACAAATCAACCTGATCCTCGCATGCCTGCATAATTCAAAAACTGAATGATAATGCAGGCCTTGCAAAAATGTAAGGCGTTCTTTACAAGTATCAAGGGTAACGTTACTAAGGATGAATACCAGTGCGTCCACTAAGGGAAAGGGTTATCCTCAGTTGACCCCGTGAGGAATAAATATGTCCAAATGGAGTCGTTATACAGCATGTACTATTTTGTTATTTTTTATACCTATCATCATTGTGGAGGTCACTTACATAAATTTTTGAAATAACTACAAAGAAAACCTGCGGGTACATTTTCATCATGCAGGAATGCTGACACAGTCAGATTTTATACAGCATCATCAAAACAAATAAAAGGTTTGATGTTCGTTGGTGGTTGAAGAAAAGTAATCAGTCAATGACCAACAATTTCCTGGAATTAAATTGTTATATCTTTTAAGACACTTAAATAATCACACTTCATTTTCTCTGTTCAGTATTTCGTATTACTGAATTAACACAAACCCTAAATGCATCAGTGATTTTCTTTATGAGATTTTCCTGTATTTTTTTATGGTAAGATTTTTGGTTGCTTATACAATACAGTACAGTATACTCATTATATACACAGAACATGATTGAGAAGTCTATTTCAATATTTATCAAAATTCTAATTGTACCTCAGAAAGCAAGTTGTGTTCTGCACACTACCAAAATGCCAGAAGAAAATTTGACATAAAATGTTCATTCCTGTACATTTACGCGCATATTTCTTCAAGTTTGCAAATTAAATTAATTCATTAATTAACTCAGAATTAGCTCTCTGAGTTAAATTTTGCAGTTGGTCCCTTATAATTTGATTTGAAGAGCTGTGCCTGCGCAAATTGAAAAATGATAATTTTGAAAATATTTCAATTCTTTCGGGTCTTGTTTTCACTCCAAGTGCATGATGGTGCACAAGTGAATACAAATTGAGTGAAGAAAACGATTACTGATTTAATTTTACTGTTTACTAGGGGAATGCTCAATTCATGAAATATACAGTACTGTACTTGAAATCATTGAAACAAGGCTATTTAAAAAAGTTTTCAATTTAGTGATTTACTCCACCATCTTTTCATGCAAGATGAGTACTCGGCATCACAGACGTGCACATGTCTTCAACAAGTTTCTCAGCAGGCATCAGGAAACGTCATTTCGGTGCATGAATCCAGTGTCATCAATCACTCAAGCATCACACGTGTTTCATCAAATTCAAAAAATAAACACATGAAGTACTTCAGTCAAAAGCTTACTGTCTATAGTCATCAATAATGTTTTGAGTACACTTTTTATAAAGAAAAAATCATTTTTCAACATATGCTTGCTATAGTCACTTGCTTTCAATTGCCTCAAGTTTTTTAATTCTTTTCTTCATGGGTGAAGATTTGTGTATTTATTAAGCTGCACCTTTAAACCCTTTTATATCTAGAAAGTGATGAAAACCCCTTTGCCAAAATTCAATGCTTCATGATCATTTTCTTCCCCCAAAAAGGAATTTGTTTCTTATTCAATATTTCAAAGAGTCACGTGTTTTTTTCATGATTTCACCAAATATCCAACATGAACTTGCTGATTTTCATATTTACACAAGTACCACACGCACTCTTTTGAATTTAAAGGATAAAAGAGGGTGCATGTGATAGACAGGTGTAAAACAAAATGAATTAATTCAAAATTTGAAAGTTCACGTGAATGTTTAACTTGATTCTAGTAGTAAATATAATTCAAATTGAGTCATATTCGAGTCAACTAGATATTCAAGTCAAGACTTTAATGTAAAACTGAGGTGTGCGTCTCACTTGAGGATGGATTTTTATCCTAATTTTAGGATAAGAAAATGAGGTTTGCACCTCACTACTCAAGGGCACATAGTACTTCAGTAAATACTTTGAGTAAACTCAATAATACACGTGAACACTCTGTACAACAAAATTCAAGGGATTGTCGACAGACTTTTGTTGAGAACCCCTGTAAGATGGATAGAGAATTCTATGAAAAAAAAATTCATGCCAAGAACATTGTTGAAGATGGTCCAGGTTCACCTGTAAGGATTAAACTTTCTTCTGCTAAAGTTATGTGAGAAAAAAAACAATTACGGTAAATTTAATGACAACGCTAATTGATCATCAAGACAATTGCACGCGGCCATTTGCCCGAACTTGAGGATTCCTCTGTTATGTCATGTAAAAATCACTCGACAGCAACAGAAAAAAAATACACACAAGTATGAGCACTGTTTCAGACTCACTCCGAAAGATCTTTATATCCCTTCTTTGGACACGAAAAACAAATCCGCGCGACACATTTCAACCATCGAAGTCTTTTCAACACCTCCAATCTTAGCAGCATCTTCAAATTTTCCACAGAGAATATTCCACTGTTCAGCGGAGACACACAACACACATTCTAAAAATCACCTGACGTTTCATCTTGCACTTCTTTCTAGTAACAGAAATCGTCCTAATCCACGTCAAAAAAGGAATGATACCAAAATAAGAGAGGGGAAAAAAATAAAGGCGTGGCTCTGGTACGTGACCAAATGCAAAAGCTCTGTTCCAGTACTTGACCAACCTGAATGAGAAATTTGACCCAGTACGTGACTGAAAGAAGAGCATTTTCTAACTAAGAACAAGTTAAATGCTTAATGACATCAAGGAACAATTTTCTCATGATTTCTTTTCCGTCAGCTACGGTTCATAGTCAAATCAATCAACAAGAAACTGAATTTCAACTGATTCGTCATACTTTCCAGTCACGTACCCGCAACACAACTAAATTTTATGGCAGACGGTCTGTTCGACATACTAGAAAAACAGAATCTTAAAACAATTCCACGTATGACAGATAACCGGGGTTTTCTTCACTTCACATTCGCCAGTCAAGCTTTTGAACTCACCTTTAGATAAACGGAACGAAAACACTGCGTGGAAGTGGAAAAATCAGACGATTGGGACAAAACAACGCGTTGTTCTAAGTAGCCTCCATTACGAGGTTTGCACCTTGGCGTCTTTTCTTTTTTTCTCGTCTTTTTGTTTTGTTTCAAGCTTCGTCCTGGCTTTCAAAATCCTGAGAATCCGTCGGGACCGATGAACAGGGAAGATAAGGCGAAGAGCAGGAACACAATTGCTCCGATTATCGTCACTGGAAAAATAAAGCGGAAGTTAATGAGCAGTTCAAAACAAGTCTCATGCAATGAACTACAGTATAATGAGGCCGATTGAATTAAATTAAGAATCGGCATAGTCCAATCGAAAGGTAAATTGAAGTGATTTTAAAGGATTCAAAAAATCTTATTGCATGGTTCGAGTTTCAGACGAATAGCGAGAATGATGAAATTCCGAAGATAAAATTGAATTTGACGAAAATTTGAATTCAATACTTCCGTGATGAAAAAAAAAAACATTTGCTATAGCACCAATAATCTCTCCTCGTAGTTTTTTGCGAATTATTTTTAGATTTTTCATGGTAATTTCACAAAAAGAAAATAAAAAAAATAGGCACCGAGAAAATTAATAAACGCATTTATTTGAGTATCACACAGACTTGTTCTAAAAATTGGGATGAGAAATGGAATGCAAGCATACAATTTTCAAAGTTCAAGCTATACTCGATTCTTGTGATGAATTTTGGAACAATTAAAAAATAAATTTCAAATGGAAACCATTACAAATTAATTGATTTCAAGCTCAATTCATTCCTAAATTTAAAATCTGGTGCGTCTTCCTCAAAAATATGATTTCATCAAAATTTTCAGGCCAAAAAATCCGGGTGCGCATCTCACTTGAGGGCAAGTGGTTCTTGGATAAAAAAAACAGCATCGCACAGGTCAGCTTCGATTATAAAAAAAATTTTGTACTGATTTTAGTTATAATCTATAGATTTAACAAAAAACTTAACCCAATAAAATTAAGATAAACTCACCAGTTTTCACCGATATCCGTTGGGCGACCATGCGACCGCCAATAACTGCTACACCCGTGCACAATGAATGCCCAATTGTTCCTCCTAAGGTAACGCCCCATACGTTCTGAAAAAAAAAATATTCGAGCCCTCAATTAGCACGCAGAATCTTCCATATTCACGCGAATATAGAAACCCATCAAGATTTTACCGGCACAAAATTAAAATTCCATAAATATGAAAACATAAGCATCCAATTACTTTCCTGATATTCTGACTTTCCAGGAATCTACAATTTCTGACCAAATTTAGGTTTTGTCCAGAAGAGGAAAAACGGTGTCACACAACCCTTGCTATTTCCTTGATTTCCCCTCAGTCAGTGACCCGTGCATCTTGGAGTGCTAAAAGCTGACCCGATTATTTTCAACTTCAATAAAAAAAACTTCAAAAAAGTGCTCCATAGTTCTATGTGACACAAACACGATTTCCTGATATACACGCAAATTGCACCAATATGCGCACCCCTGATTTTTGAGTATCAAAAACTGAAAAAAGAGGTGCTTATATAATATTTGCATAAATCTGAACATGCATTTCTTGCTCTCCAACTCACTTAGCGAAGAAAAAACACGCAAGAATTCCGATATAAAAAAATTGAGTTTCAAAAACCACGCACATTCTGCGGCACACAGATTATTCTTTGAATTTAATGAAGGCCAGTAAGTGGATTCCTTAAAAATTGAGGAAGCCTCTTTCCTGAATCATAAATGAGATCATGAGTCAAAAGCATGCACTCATGGTCTGGAAAACCTGAAAGAAACCTTTTGTATTACACGGCACATGGTTAACTTACCTCTGTGGCAGCTAGCACAATTGTTGAGATCTGCGACCGATCACCCCATTCCGCAAGGAAGGTCATTGTAAAAGCTTGCAAAAATACTCTAGCTAAAACTTTCCAAGCACTCGGAGTCGGTCGTGATGATCGATGACTTGCCGAGGATCCCGGTCGTGGAGCCTCCGCATTTCCTGGCGACCTTTCGGCCTTTTACAAAATATGTTGAAAGAAATTTCGTTACGTTCAGACACTAACTTTGAATCTGAAAAACAAAAATAAGCACCTCTTCTTCGCGACGACGCAAATCTGACTGAACTTCCTCCAGCTCTTCTTGTCCCTCGTCAGGTTTCATTCTTATGCCCTCAATCAACATCTTGATCCCAAATATTGCGAACAGGCCCGCAGATACGTAATAAGTGTATATCTTCGGAATAACTTGTACAGCATATCCCAAAGCAGCTGGAAATTTCGATATGGAAAAAAATTAGAACAAGCAACGGATTCAGAAAGAACTGTACCAAGAAATTATCGGAGGCTCATCCGAATATTTGATACAGAATAGTGAATTTTTCATGAGCTTCCCAGAACTACTGGGGTTTCAATAAACAAATCAGCGGTCTCTTCCAGTCTTGCATATATTGAATTCTCGCGAAGGAAGGCAAATTCGTATGGAATTCCTTTAGGTAGAAACATATATTCTACTGACGGACCTTAATTCTCAAACTTTCGGAAGTAACGATACCTTTTTTAAAACGAATTGAAGATATAGAGGCACTAACGCAAGAAGAAAACAAGTAAATCGTTCAGACTTGACCAAAAATTCACAGATTTTCGAAAGACACGATCAACTCAAACATTATGTACATCAGACATAACTTCTACAGTACTTTCAAGAGCAAGTACAGTATTGTGGATCTTGCTAGAAATATTTCAGAAACTACGACAATTGAAAGAAAAAGAACCAATCGCCCGAAATTCAGAAATTAGCTTTTGGAATCGT